CTTCTGGGCTGTTATCACCAATGCCAACGCTAAATTTTCAATCTTCTGGTATCACTGCTCAGCCTCTTTTAGGACTTTGCTAACGAAGAAAACTAGTTTTTCTGGTTTTATTAATCTTGCACAAGATTTGAGCATCATGGATTTTTCGGACACCGCCAAATATAAGGTCAAGGGTGCATTCTCTTTTGGTCTTGTCAAGATAGGATGAGAGGATAGAAAACACTTTATCCTCTGAAAGGCCTCCTCACACGTCGTTGTCCACTCGAATTCTTCGGCCTTTCTGAGGGCCACAAAGAAATGGATCACTATATCTCCAGCGTATGATAAGAAACGGGATAGGGCGACTAGCCTCCGTGTCAACTATTGTACTTCTTTATTTAAAGATATGCTCGACATATCTATGATCGTCTGACATTTATCCGGATTGGCTTCTATTCCTCAGTTTGTGAGCATGAATCCCAGGAATTTTTTGGCTTGTACCCCGAAAATGCATTTGTTCGGGTTTAGCCTCATATCATATCTTCTTATTGACGCAAGTGTTTCCTTTAGATCTATATTACATGTTGTTGCTTCATGGTGGTTTTGGCGACCATGTCGTCCACGTATACTTCCAGGTTTCTTCCGATTTGAGTGGCAAACACCTTATCCATTAGTCGCTGATAAGTGGCTCCAGCATTTTTGAGGCCGAATGGAATTACCTTATAATAGTAATTACTCTGATCCGTCACGAAAGCTGTTTTTTATGCGCAGATCGGGCTCATGCGGATTTGGTTGTACCCGGAGTAGACGTCCATTAAGCTAAGCAGCCTGTAACCTGAGGTGTCATCGATAAGTCGATCTATCTGTAGCAGTGGATATGGGTCTTTGGGACACGCTTTATTAAGTTCTATGAAGTCGACACACATACGCCACTTCCCCATCTGTTTCTTGACCATGACCACATTAGCCAGCCAAGTGGGATATTTGATCTCTTTGATAAAACCAGCGTTGAGCGGCTTTGCGACCTCTTCCTTTATGGCCTTTTTCTTTTCTTCTCCACCTTTTCTCTTTTTTTGAGATACTGGCTTTGTGTCGGGATTCAATCCTAAATGATGACACATGAAATTTGGATCTATCCCAGGCATATATGAGGGCTTCAAGGGGAACAAATCGACATTTTCTTTAGCAGCGTCACAATCTTTTCTTCTTCTTCCTGAGAGAGGTTGGCACCGATATAGGTTATCTCAGAGGTTGTGCCATCGATATGGACTTTCTTCGTTTTATCATGGGGAGATAGACTTTCCCTTGACGAATCATCGCGTAGGTCTATATCAACCATGTTAACTTTAGGATAATTGGAATACTCGGTTTCTCTGGATTGAACCTTCTTCTTTAGCTTCAGACTGTCCTTGTAACATTTCCTCTCTAAACCTTGATCTCCCTTGACCACCCCAACCCGACCATCCCCCAAGGGATATTTCATTGTGAGGTATAAGGTGGAGAGAGCAGCTTCCAAGGAATTAAAAGATGGCCTTCCTACGATGATGTTATTGGGTGAAACAACATTGATAATCAGGTATCTCACTTTGACTGTTTTGGTATTCGTGTCGCTTTCGAAAGTAGTCAGTATCGGGAGGTTTTTACTTTAAACCAGGCCCATTCCCTAGACCAATAACACACAAAATCTTGTTCCCTAAGCTTTCAAACTCCACTCTAGGTTTGGGACAAGTCACTAGCTCCCACGGAATTAACAAGCATTGCCTCTTGACAACAATGATGTGTGTGTAATTTTAACAACCATATGCAATTAAGACCATCCCTCAATCTTAACACTCATGCATGTCTTCAATAATTCATCACAATTGAATTACCACACAATTACACATACATGCATATTTTCATGAATTATCCACATACAATTTACCTTTGTAGTATAACCACGCAAAACCATCATAATATCATATAAAAAGCAATATACAAAAGTGTCATTACGATCCAACACCAAATCACAAACCACACAACACATAAATACAAGTCATTTTACATAACCATGCAATGATGAAATCACCTATTGCCAACAAGATCATTTTTATTGAAAATAATGTGGCACTAGCTTCCTAACACTTCAAACGGTGGCCAAAACAGAGCTACGGTTAGAAAGTTATGAATTTTTGAAAATTTACAAAGTTGTTGTCCAGACAAGTAGTAACGGATCACCTTAAAACTAGGCAAGATTATGTAACCGGTTACACCCTGCAGTAGCATATTCTTGCTTCTTTTTGACACGAAAATCACTTTTTATTTCTACCAAACACTACTCAAACCTCACATAATGCATAGTTTAGGTTCCAATTTCGTTTATACATTCACCCACGCCATCAACAACATTCTAATCCACCAAAATTACAATTATATACAAGAATTCACACAATTTTATACCGTAGGGAAAACACTGACACATCATTGCATCAAAACAATAAAAGACATGATAATATGGAGATTAATAATCACCCACCCATATATCATCCAATTCAAGGCAAGATAACATATATCCAACATGTAATTTCTAATCAAAACATCACAACAAAAATTCACATCATATACAAAGATTTCTCATCAATCCTAAACAATTACAAAACATAGAAATTAAGAGGTTTGCACCCTAGGCATAAATCTACTCATTACTTATCATTATATGATTTATATAACATGCAAATACCCACCCTTATCTTGATTTCTTGATGGATTTCTTAAATTTCTCCATAGGTGCTCTTCTCCTCTTTCTCTCTTTTCCTCTGCTTCTATGTGAAATCCTTTTTTCCTCTTCCCTTACTAACTTCTATTTTCTTTTTATTAAACCACGAGTAAAATAAATACTAACTCTACTAATCAAGTTAATGGGCTCACTATCACACCCCCACTAACTTATCACATTCTCACAATTAGGTCCAATTACCATTATTATACTATTTCTCTATAATTCTTACTGATTAAATAATTCATTCACTAACCGGTATCATTTTCCAACGATAACTCAACGGTTCGATAATCCCACCCCGACTAACCCGTCACATAGAGTATACATCAAATAATTTAAATTAAATCAATTACTCACAAAATCAAATAAGTAACTAATTAATTAAATATATATCTAATTAATAAAATTGGGGTGTATAGGAGTTAGGTGTATAAGATATTTGTTTCTTTAGATGGCCTACCCTCGTGTCTTTGTTGGTGGAGATGCAAAACATTGTGTTGCCAGGTTTTGTTTTGGTAACATAACTCTTCCATGATGGTCTTTATCTCTGTTATGGTTCCTTGATTGACATTGTTGCTACTGACAGTGCCACGTCTCACCATTGTGAAACAAAGATTAATGCAACAAATATTTCACATGAGAGTGTGATCTAGAATAGTTTTATGAGACCTATGGTGGACGTTAATTGTACTTATGGTAAGTACAATATGGATTATCATGCATACGATGAGATGTGCAAAAGGGCTTTTGTATTCTGATATGTAAAAAGTGAATGAATCACCTATTGTCTAACTAGGATATTTATAGGCTTAGTTACTTGATCTAAGATTTGTTAGAAAGACCTAAGAATTCGGCCACGCACCCCTTAACATTGACCTAATAGTGGGAGTGAGTCATCCTTCCTTATAGGAAGTATGACTAGTCTATGCGACTTGATGGATTCAGTAATTCCTCTAATATGTTGCTTGATACAGTTTCACATAAGGATTAAATATGTTTTTAGTCTCTATAAATTATCAAATTTTCTTTTTGGTCCCTATAAAAAATATTGCATATTTTGGTATCTACAAAATTATTATGCATGTTGTTTTAGTCCCTCCTGTTAAATTAATGTATATTTTTGAATGATTATTTTTGAAAATATATTTATAACGTTATAAAAAATTCCGCAAAAAATAACTCAAAATTTGATATCTAAGTCAAAATTTTCATTACTTTTATCATTATCTTTTGAAATTTAACAAATATTTAATTCTTCTCATTTTAAAAAATTCTAAAATTTGATAAAAAAAAATTTAATATATTTTAAACATATATGAAAAAAAATTATTCAAAAATTTAAAATTTTAAAATAATTAAATTATTTTTAAAATATTAGAAAATAGCAAGAATTAAAACTACATGCATAAAATTTTTATAAGTAATAAAATATATTATTATTTTATAGGGATTAAAAATAAAAATTGAAACATTTATAAGATCAAAAAATATATTTAATTCTTCACATAAATGAAAAATATTGACTTCAATTATTTTTTAATTTTTTAATTTTAAATTTAAAATTAAATATATTTTAGAAATATTTTGAAATGTAAAAATATTTTTTAATAATAATAATCTCAAAAATAATATTATTAAGATTGTAATTTCAATCTTTGAAAGAAACTAATACTTTATACTTTATGTTTCATGAACGATGTTCGTGGACCAAAGTGTCCATATTTAATTTTGAATTTTATTTCCTTTTTATAAAAAAAATAATAACATAAATTCTTTAAAAGAGATTTAAATAAAACCATGGTTAAAAAAGTAGAAAAGGTTAGAAATGAGGCGAGTGTGGTACACGCGTGTGAAGAAGCAAAGACAGAAGAGACGGATAAGAAAGAAGAAGAATATGAGCCGAAAAAACGGCCCATCCCATTTAGGCTAAAAGCCGGCACGCATGATGCCCCACCCTCGCCGCTTGTCTCGAAATTCCCAAGGGCCACGTATCCCTCAAACATCAACACTCTCTCTCTATCTCTTGGGCGGCGTCACGTCACTTACTCTTCTTTGACTGCACCTCTCACCCACAAATCAATCACATAAATTATTATTTCCTCTTTTTTTCTTTTTCATTTCTATATTTTCTTAATTAAAAAACTCCACTATTTTTTGTATATATATACCCCCATCTCACCCAACCCTCAAAGCACCACTACCCACGTACTTGTCTCTAGTTACGCCATTACGCTATTCTCTCCCACAATCACAATCACAATCAATGGTTATGAAAGCAAAGAATGTCAATCTCAAAAACAAGAACAATAATGCAACCGAGATTCATTTCAGAGGCGTCAGGAAACGACCGTGGGGCCGTTACGCCGCCGAGATCAGAGATCCCGGCAAGAAAAGCCGCGTCTGGCTCGGCACGTTTGACACCGCCGAAGAAGCCGCTAGAGCCTACGACGCCGCCGCTCGTCAGTTCCGTGGTCCCAAAGCCAAAACCAACTTCCCGCCTCCTTCCGACAACAAAGAAAACAACCTCAACAACATTAACAGCAATCAGAGTCTAAGCCAGAGCAGCACCGTTGAGTCGTCCACGCCTGAGCGTGCTCTCACGCGCTCTCGTGAAGTTCCGATTGGTGGCGTCATGGATCGTTTTCCGTTTCTCTCGATCCAGCAACAAATCATGCCGTTTCCCGCTGCTGCTGTGGACGGAATGGTAACAACTGCTGTGAACCCGGTTTTCTTTTATGATCCGTCCGGTCGAGCTGAGTTTATGAATCAGCGGTTTTCGACTAGGTTTGAACCGGGTCCGGTTGAGTTTAACATCGGGTTTGGCGGTAGTAGTGGGGTTCAGAGTGACTCCGATTCGTCATCTGTTGTTGATTGTCAGCCAAAGAGAGCTCTCAATCTTGATCTTAACTTAGCTCCACCAATGGATGTTTAATTTTTTTTTTAACACTTTTTAAATTAATTTTAAATATATCTCACCGTATTTTTAGATGAAATTTAGAAACCAGAAAGCAGGAAGGACAGAGTTTACTGTTTTTAATGGAAGATTAATCTCCAATTATTTTGACGAAGATATGCTGTTAACTACATCCTTTGATGTAAATATGTTAGCCTTGTGTTTTCATTTTTGTTTTGTTGTTTTATATTAATTAACCAGATTAAAGAACATTGATCCGAAATTATCTACTAGTAATATGTAATTCCGGCACATGTTATGTTCTTTTGATTTTTTAAGTAAAAAAACTTTTGATTTTGCTTTTCACAGCCTCTACTTTTGTGGATTATACTGATGTTTTATTTGATTAATTTATTCTCATATACTAGAAAATAAGATATCGTTTTATAATAATTTACAAGGGATTAAATCGTTTTTTATTTTCCATATTAAATTTTTGAAAGGAATTAAATCGAGTTTATTTGTAGAGCATAAATTTGAATTATATAATTTTTGTGAAGGATTAAAATGGGTTTCACTCTTCATTTAAACACTTTAAAGTGAAATTAATTAATTTTGTAGTTAATAGGATGTCAATTTGACCAGTTTATGAACTATTAAAATAATTAGATATGAATGTAGGTATTAATACATTAATATTTATTCTGACCCATTTTACACAATAAATATTTATCTATGTTTTTAAAATGTACTAGTATTTTAAAAAATATCAATATTAAATTATTATGTATTTAATATAAATATTCTATTTATTTTTATAATTAACTAAAGTATATGATGTATTTTAATTAAATTTATAAATTTTTATTAAAAATACGTGATAATGTTGGTGTTTAAGTGGATATAAATTTGGGTATAGTATGTTAGATTAGATGTTAACGTAGGTGTTTAAGCGGATATAAATTTGAGTATACAGATTTTTTTAGAGAATTTTTCTGTCCGTTCTACACTTAATAGAATTTTTTTACGCATTTTCTAAAATGTCTTGAAAATCGAAAATATATTTTCGATGCGTACTATACACTACACACACAAATTAAATGTGATTCTATCCTATTCAAAAGATAAAAAGAGAATTAGAATCATAGTTTTGGTTGTAATTGATATTCTATTTTCGGTTTGTATAGTGGAAAGATTGAATTTTTTGTCACTTTGTCCATTTTATATATTACCGGAAATATACTTCCGGTATTATGAAAAATACAAATTACTTAAAACATTAGTCAGTATGTTGAAGGATGATCATCCTTATTCTTCATCTTTCCATAAATCCTCTCAAAAACCCTTTCATTTTCAATCCATTTTTTCACTCCAAATCTTTATTCTCGTGATTCATCATATCAAAAGGAGCTTAAGGAAGTGAAATTTAAGATAAAGTTTATTCGTTTCAATCCTCATTCTTCACATTAATTTGGTTTTTTTTCTTGAAAAAGGTTACACTAATAGCGAGATTGTATTTCCAATCAGTAGTTGAACTAAATCGGAAATGTTTCCGGTTCCTGGATGTGCATAACTTACCAGCAATTGTGTGTTAAGTAGTTTAATTTTTTTTATCACATTAGGCATGGTGCATCTAGATAACATTCTCAAACCTAATGTGTCTCAAGTTGTTTCACCTCTTGTATCTCCTCTCGTAACTAAGGCGGTAGATATTCGTGACCACTTTGAAATTGGAAAAGAGTTTGAATTATGTGAAGACATGCTACATTGGATTCGTACAGAGGCCACCAAACTAGGATTTGGTGTTGTGATTGGAAGGTCTGATACTGGTACAGATAGAAGATGTGTATTTGTGACTTTGACATGCGAAAGAAGTGGGAAATATATGCGTTGGACCCATTATTTGAAATGCGACGACACTGTATCGCACACTTTTCTGGCGCTCAATTGCGACAATGATGATATGTAATAGAAATGTAGCGGTAAAGATTTGAGATTAAGCCATCAATTGACTTATCTCAACATAATGAAGTCGCCACCGCACTTTATTGTTTCCAATGGGAAATGAGAAAAAGCGAACAAAACCCAAAAAAGATCAGAGATCGAGGTACATGGGTCGGTTATGCAAAGGGAAGGTATTAACACCCTAAACATCTACGGTATTCCGCAGGATCCACTTTGTTTAGTTTCTTTTAAAATGAGTGTTGTGTAAAGGTTTACTTGCTAAAGGAAAAGAATGAATGAGTATTTGTAAACAAAAGAAAAGGAAATGTTTTTTTATTATTTTTGTTGCTCGCTTTGGGTCGTAAGACTTAATGCCTACGTACTCCCTCGTGCAATGGGAAAGTCAGAGCACTGTAGTTCGGCTAGAAAAGACTTGTCTGTCGGTTGATTTTAAACAAGGAGACAAGTCGTCATTGTTAGGAGAGAAATCTCGACTAACGCCCACAAGGTGTGAGAAAGATGGACCATGCGTCAGCAAGAGTGAGGGTTTGAGAACGCCTTTAGCACTCAAGTGGAAAAGTCGACACCTTCATAACCATGGGGATAGGAGAATGTTTCTCGACTATCAATGAATCATGTCTCAACTCAAAAAAAGTTTTGAAGGGTAAAGGTGCTCGAGTGCACAAAAAGGTTTGAATGAGTTGAAGTGTTCTTTTGTTAATTTTGAAAGATGTCAAAGTATGATTAAATGAATTGAAGTTTGTTTAAAGAAAAGAAGTTTTAAAAGAAAAGGCACTCGACAAAGTTGAGGTTTATTATGAAAGTGGTTTGAGTTTAAAAACAAAGAAGATTTTGAAAGAAGATGAGAAGGTTTTAAAAATTAAAGAAGATGGGAGGAGATGAAGGGACTATCCTAAAGCATAAGGTAAAAGCTAAGAAAGAGAACCGTCTAACCAACAAGAATCCAATACTTGACATTATGGGTCAAGATAGAAATCTCATTCTTTGGATTGAAACCAAGCAAGCAAAGATACTAGACCTCTTGAGAAGACCAAACTTCAAGTGTATCAAGTCTTCGAAAAAATTGGGCAGAGTAACGGCTGTATACGGGTGAATTCCAGATTACAAACAAAGGGTGTAATCACAATAACCTGCACACAAAACAAACAAACAACCCAATATCTTGAGGTAAACCTCAAGAACTCCAGACAAAATAATCAGATAAAGTCACAAAGTCTCCAAGATAGGCCAAGGTCTCTAATCCTAAGTCCAAGAAAAAGTCCCATGCTCCATAATGCCAAGGATAGTAACCAAATAGTCCAAGTACCATTAAATACTTTTTAAAGGTTTATGTTGATTATTAAGTGTCTTCAAAAGAAAAAGAAAAGCTCAAGTGAGCAAAATAAAAATGACATAAAAGTAAATGCTCAAGTGAGCAAAGATGAAAATAGCATGAAATGTAAATGCTAAAAGTAAATGGTACATAAAGTAAAGAGCATAAAATAAAGTCAATTGTTAGAAATTAGTGGTTAGTTGGATGACCATCTTGAAACTTGCATTTGGAACTCATTAGAGGATTGGTAGAACCAAATCCTCCACACAACAAGTTGCATTTTCTTTTTGTCAAGTATATCATCTATTTGGAATTCTCACAAGTGCCATTTAATGATCAACGATGTTTAAGTGATCTGCGTTGACCAAAGGTGTTGTAGATCCATTAGAGGATTGGTAGAACCAAAGCCTCCACACAATGAATCTCAAGGTTATTGGATCAAAGATATCAATTTAACATACTTGGGCTTAAAATCATAAGTTTTGGCCACGAATGATCATTTATCCGAATCAGGACAAAATTTAGCGCTATATTAAGCAATCGTAAGCGGACTTATGTAGAAGTCGCATCTATTTTGAGGCCGGTCAATAGCAATCTATGTACTTCATGTTTGGATAAATTATATAGATATCACCATACCTTAACATGTAGCACAATTGAAAAAGAAAGGAATAAGATGAAGAGGGAGGGGAATGATAAGCTAATTTGGATCACTACCTCAAAATTCTTTCATCTTTAAATTCAACCACTCCTCTAGATGGATTAAAGCACTAAACATATCATTATTCCAAAGCACCAAAAATGAATTAAATAATTCACTCTTTGGTAGATTTGAATTGATGAACATTTATTCAACTTCATCTACATCACAAAGTCCATTGAGTTTAAAGAGAAATTAGACATTTAAAATTGCAATCCAAACCAACAATCAAAAGGAGTGAGTAGAAAAAGCATTTTGGATCAAAGTTGCCCCAAAACAAGGCCAAAAAAATGCATTTAGTCCTTGTGTAAATCGATTGCACTATTGTTTAAATCAATTTACACAGTACAATTTTCAAAAATCTACGCGAAATTTCTTCTGTGCAATCGATTGCACTGTTACTGCAATCGATTGCACGCGGTTACAAACAGCAAAACAGCATTTTAAAAGGCCAAATTCTTGTCCAAACTTTTCATCAAATATCTTATGATCATGGATCTAATTGAGCACGAAAATTCCATCAAATTATGAGAAAATAACACCATTGGAATCACAAAATAATGCTCAAAGAATCAAACCCAAAGATCAACAAGAGATCACATTGTGAAAGATGAATTATCCAACTTACCAAAGATAGATCTAGAGAATTATCAAAACAACTTCAAGAATTTGCTTCAATTTAACCACAAGAATCAATTGCTCAAGCTTGGATGTAGAGAATTGATAAAGAAAAAGTGTTTCGATGAAGGTTTAGCTCAAAGATTAGTAAGCTTCAATGCAAAGCTTACAAACTTTTTGAAAATGGAGCTTTGAGTGAATTTGGTAGATGGAGAGAATTGAGAGATTTTTTAGCAAGGTGGACTTGGATATCAAAATCTTGAAATTTGAATGAAATGAGGGCTCTATTTATAGAGTTTAGGATTGGGATTAGTGGTAATTTGGTAATTGATTCCTGGAGCCAAAATTTGAATTAATGACAATTCTTTCAAAAATTAGAGCCAAATTGGAGCCAAAAATTTGACAAGCTTGAAATGCTGATTTTTTTTTCCAAATTTTCATGAT